TAGGTGGATGGTAGGTTGTGGGTCTTGCACGTGGAAGCGAGTTCGTGTGGTGGATTCGCCGTTGGCTTTCGCGGAGTTAACGCCTTAACGGTATACGGGGGTGCTGATGTGGACCCACCACTGTGGATGAGATAGCCAGATATCCAATAGGTGGCGGGGGATTGGGCAGATGTGCAATCGGGGAAGATCGTGTGGGGCCCGATGATTTCCAATATAGTAATGTTCGGGACACACCCCCAATCACAATCTCAATCACATCTCCTCCCCCCGATTTCCGAAATTTGTTAAATTTTTTATCTTATTTGTTGATTATTTGGATTAACAAGGTAGACGTCCATATTTGCATATGTAATATATTGGATATAAAGTAAATGCTCATGTGCCGCAAATGCCCATGTTCATTTTCATTTTTAAGAGAGATGAAACTGGACTTTCCATGCGGAATTATATGTATCCAGATTCATTTTTGCCTTTCTTTCCTTTCCTGTCCAATAAACTAATGAAACATCCTATTCGCATGCTTTTCTCGAAATCATGGATTCTCTAGCTCTGTGGAAATCAAAGTCGGATTCAGAACTGGGCTATTCTAAGAAAAAGACACGAAAGAGTGCATCTAATATTTAAATGCTAAATTTTAGTGTGTATCTATCTTTTTTTTGGTATTTTAAGGTATAATTTCTTAATTCATAATTTCGTAGAATAAATCTACATGGTCATTTGGGACAATTATAGCATTAATTTCTTATTTTCTTCATCGGAATTATTTACGTGATTGTTCATGATTCCTCACAATTGTCTATTACAATTAAATAAGAATTAAAAATACTTTGTTTTGCAATCAGTTTGATGTAACCCGATTGATATGTTTGGTCTAATTATGTATTAATGTGTTTTCCTGCTATATTTTTAGCAATATCCACATTTATTTTTTGCCTTTGGATACTATACTTTTAGGGTTTTCATATTATACTTTCGGCAGCACGTGCTACGCTTTCAAAAATAGTTGTTATGCTTCTAATAATACCCTCTTATACTATTGGAAATATATGCTATACGCCCAGCAACACCCGTTATACTTTTAGGAATAGTTGTTCTACTTTCAGCAATGCAATACACGCTGCTTTTAGAAATAATTGCTATACTTTTCAGTATATATGCTATACTTTCAGAAATAACTACTATACTTTTAGAAATACTTTTTATACTTTCAAAAATATATGCTATACTTTCAGAATATTTGCTATATTTTCAAACAATACATGCCATACTATTAGAAATAATTGATATACTTTCAGAATGTTTATACTTTAAAAAATACCTGCTATAACAATACATAAAACATACACAATACATCTCATATCTATAAGTAATTTATACATAAAATGTTATACTTTCATAATTGTGTACACAAGAAGTACAACCAAAACCTCAACACATGAGAAATTTTGTCGGTTAGAGCCTTATATGGGCCAAAACTAATCCAGTAGCCAATTCCCCCCTTTCTCCTCCTCCCTCGTTCTCCTCGAAAATGTTCTCAGATCCCACAACCACCTCCGCCGCCGCCATCCGCTGCACCCTCCTTCAGCGGGCCCAAACACTGCTCACATAATATTCTCAATACACCAACCCATCAACTTCACAAACGCATCCAAATCAAAACACATTATCAAAACCTAATAAATAAATAAATCATAGAAAATCACTTCCATGCACTCACACGCACACACATTACACTTGCACAATATTATCACGTTAACCCACACGCTTTCGACCTCCTTCAACTTACATGAAAGAAAAAACCACAATTAAATCACACGCATATTAAATTAATTCAAGCTCCCATCATCCAGAGGCACGGCATCGTCCATGTTCTCATCGTCATCCGGCGTGGCGTCACGCGCGGTGCCGCTGCATCTTTCGTGGCAGAGGGAGGTGCAGGTGTCCATGTTGTGCCCGTTGGAGCAGCGCGGAGCACGCGGCAGGCAGTCGTCAGTCCCTCGTCGGGTCCATGTCAGTCTTCTTCCGGGTCGCCTCCCGGTCCGTCGCCGCATGTTGCGTTCCCCGCGCGCGCGCTGGACGCCAGAAGCCATTGACAGGAGGAGGAGGAGGGCCGCCGATCAGCCGCTCAAGGCCTTGTGATCGCATTTTTATTTATTTTTTATTACTTTCTCATCCGTGCTTAATTAATCTATTTACGAATTATGTGCGAGTGAATTTATTAGAGCGAGCGGAAGAGAGGAGTTGGTTGGAGTTTTGTGGATCGCAGAAATGCGGCACACAATCGCTGGAGTGGTTTTGGTTGGCTTTGATTTATTTAGGGCGTGTTTGTCCATCACTCAAAATTGAACCAGATTCAAACATTGATCTAGTTTAATTTGGTAAATATTCTGACCGAAATTAATAATTAGATCAAAACTGGCCCCAGCTTTTCTCAAGCATGAAACGGGCATTTTTTCTTAAACTGAAAAAGGGTCGTTATACTAATTCTATGTTAAGAGCCGGTTTAATTAACTTGAAACGAATTAGTCATACTACTCATGGCCCAATTTACCAAATAGAATTTGGGTTTTATTGTGAACGGTTTTGAGTTTCCAAAAATAAATAAAAGGGCGAATTTTATTTTTAAAGGCTTTTTAAGCTATGTTAGTTTTAGTGATTTTGATTCGAATGAAATATTTTTATAAAAATTGTATTGGTTGAAAAGTTATTTGCTTGATCAATATATGGCTTAGGTCATATACATAGAATTCTTAACTAATAGCAACATCTATATATGCCTTGCTAAAAGTTCCACATCGTATTCAAAGCCAATCATGTATATGATGATTTTGAATTAATATAATCAAGACGGCTACTCTAGATATACAAGAAGAAATCGGAGTCCGAATCAACAATCCTTAGTGTTTTGAGCTATAAACGGAACAATTAAAATTTCTTCACTATTAATCCCTTTATACTCCTCATGACACTTTACACTTTATTTTTATGAAATTGTTCTGATAGAATTTGTATACATATGTAATGCAGTGTTTCTGTGCAGATACTAATGTTATAGTTATCGTCTACGGTTTTAATTAATAAATAGGATAAATTTCGTGAAAACCCGCTATTTTCAAATAATCCTACTTAACTTTAAAATTATCACAAAATCTTTTAAGTTTGACTGATTTTGAGCCCCAAACTTGGAAAACATCACAAACTCAAGTTTGGGGAAAAACTCTCCAAGACCCTCTCAATGGTGTTTAATTTATTAATCAAAATATTCTTTCAGATTAACACTGTAATTATGAAATTAATTTAATTTAATAACTAAGTTAATTACTTTACTAACCCTAACTTAAGCTAGTTATGCGGAACTTACCTTTAAGAAAAATTGACATCTTGGTCATTTTTTAAGAAGGGTATGTAAGGGTTTTCCCATTAGAGGCATCTTGGTCATTTCAGCACATGTAATTTTAATGTGCACAGTCAACACTATAGCCGTTATAAGGCCTAAGAGGCTATATCTTTTAAGGGTTTAAGTAACTTTTTTACACTTAAGGGGTTAAATAATATTTTAATTTTAAGGGGGTTTAAGTGAGTTTTTTAAACTTAAGAGGGTTATCTAAAACAACCATACTAACAAGATTTATTGAAAATTACCCCTAATAAATGGACTTGAATCTTGTCAGCCGTTAAAAAGTAATGAATAGATCGCTACTTCATCAAAATTGTTAGTTATCTAGGGTCTATTTGCTTTGCTTAAATAGCGAAGGAGGGAAACACCTGACACCGAAGGTGTTAAATACTATACATAAGTAGTCTTTGTTTAGTTCCACATTGGCTAGAATATTCGAACAACTCTTCTTTACTTTGTATATAACACTAATATCAAAGAAGAGAATCATCCTTTTCTCTTATATTCTCTAATCTCATCATGGTATCAGAGCTTAGTCTCTAGAGTGGAGGTCTGTGGATGAGTTGACTACGAATAGACTCAAACTCCTATCGTATTAAATGTGAAGCTCAAAGCCAAGGATGTCGATCCACTACCTTATGCCACCAATATTGACATCTCGTGGTGAGTCTAGTTTATCTTACCATCACTAGACCCCACGTCTTTCATGTCATACATGTACTCGGTCAGTTCGTCACCATGCCTCACTCCTCTCAACAATCGATATTACTTCGCGTGCTACATTACCTCCGAGAGACTCTGGCTAGAGCTCTTTTTCTTCTCTGCATCCTCATCACTTATTCTTAGTATCTATAGTAATGCATATTGGGCAGGCAATATCACAAATCGAAGATAAACTATCGAGCGCTGCATCTTTCTCAGTGACTCTCTGATCTCTTGGAAGTCTAAGAAATAAAATGTTGTCTCTTACTCTAGTGCTAAATCCGAGTATCGAGTTAAGGCATTCACCATTGTAGAAATCATCTGGTTAGACACATACTCCTCGACATATGAGTTTCTTCTCCCACAGCGGGTCCTCTACAATGTGATAACATGAGCGCAATTAAGTTTGCTAGCAATTCCATCTAACAAGAGTAGACGAAGCATATCGAGATAGATTATCATTTCACTCGTCATCACTTCCTTGTTGGCACCATCACCCTTTTCCTACATGAACACCGATCTTCAAGTAGCAGACTTCTTCACCAAGACTCATACCATACAACGGCATATTTCTTCTTAACAAACTGCCTTTGGTAGATCCAATTAAAGTTGGAGGGGGGGTTAAATATTGTACATAAATAGTATTTATTTAGTCCCACATGAGCTAGGATATTAGAACAACTCTCCTTCACTTTGTATATGAATATTAAAATATTAATAAAGAGAATCATCCTTTTCTCCCATTAAAAAAATTAAAACACGTACTAAATCCGTCTAGTTTGCTATTATAACGGATAATTCCGTCTAGAATGTCTCTAGATGGAATTTTCCCTTATAATAACAAACTAAACGGATTTAGTATTTTAATTTTTTTTAA